AAAAAAAAAAAAAAAAAAAAAAAAAAAAAAGGTGCTGTAGGAATTCAGTTTTATTATCTTACTGAACCACCATCATCTATGTGGTCTATCTGTTGATTGAAACATCACACGGTGTATGACTATTCGTATATTTACAGGTTTTCTTTCTTCTCAGTGTATGTCTTACTGTGAATGTGCCTTTACTGTCCATAAAGGTCACTCAGAATAATTCCTCTTGGTGGTTTTGTCACCAACTGGTCACACAGTGAAGTGCTTTTGTTTCATCTTATTTTTGATTTTTAGGGGATGTGTAAGAAGAATTTAATCTTTTTGTAATTATGAAGTGTGGTTCCAAAGTCAAATCTACAAAACAGGGCATAAAGAAGTCTCATGTTTTCTTATTTAACTTGGTAAACAGTGAACTCTCTAGAGAATGCAGATTTATTTTAGTGTTTTATATTCTTTCAGGATGTTTAGATAGAAACAGATACTCAATTGCAAATCAGTGTTTTGCTAACTTTGTAATGCTCTGGATCCTTAGATTTAATAAGAAGAGGGCAGGTGTTATTAAAAAAAGACAGGCTACTTGCTATCCACCGCCTCCCCCAGCTTGCTGATTTTGCATATTGTTACTTTTTTTCCCTCCTGTCTGTAACTTTTCTTTATCCTTCTTCACTGATAGATGTTCATTCATGAAACTGATGGGTCTTAAATGTATTGGTGTAAATAATTTTACTTTTGTCTCACTTGAAGAAGTATTGTTCCTTCACTAGAAGGAATAAGAAGTAGTAACACTTTGGCTCTGTTATCTTGTGCTTAAGGTTAAGGTTTTAGATGTTCCTATGGTTTGACAGCTTCTGAAGTATAATAATTTCTAAGTGGATCGCCTGAGGTCAAGAGTTGGAGACGAGCTTGGCCAACATGGTAAAACTCTGTCTTTACTAAAACTACAAAAATTAGCTGGGTGTGATGGTGCATGCCTGTAATTCCAGCTACTCGAGAGACTGAGGCAGGAGAATCACTTGCACCCAGGAGGAGTAGATTGCATTGAGCCAAGATCACGCCACTGCACTCCAGCCTGGGCAACAGAGTGAGACTCCATTTTAATAATCATAGTAATAATGCCTAAGTATCTCTATAACTACTGAAGTTAATCCCCAAAAGTTTGACAGGATTTTTAGTTTTGTCCAATTTATCATTGCCACTTTTTGTTTTCTTTATACAAAGGAAGCAAAAAAGTAAAGTTTTTAGCTATGTAGTACATTGTAAATTTTGCGAAGCAGAAAACGCTGTATTTATATTACATATAATTGGAATAATTCAAATGGATTAGATTGATGGCCATTTATTTAAACATACTTGTTTTTATCATTCCGTTTATAGCCCATTTTCTTCTGAATGGACTGGTAGCTCAGGGTTTCTCCCTCCCTCTGGCCAAAAAACGGTAGGGAGGAAAAGGACTTAGCTCTTCTTTTTAAAAGACTTTCTTTTTCTTTTTATCTTTTAATGGTAGAACAGTTGAGAAGGTTTTTATTGTAGAGAGTGGATGGGATGACCATTGTGCTTATTCTATGGGGTGGGGAGGGAAGGAATCATCTAATAGGAACTTATGTCTGCATGGTCCCAAGTAGCTGATGAGAAGAGGACTAATTCTACTTGAGTCTCATTGAGTGTAAAACAGCTAGGAAAAACATTTAAAAAACATGACTTGAAAAAAATTTGTATTACAGTACAGTACCTCTTTTTGAAGTGCCATCTCATTTATCCTGTATTGTTGGAATTTATTGTTAACTGGTGTTTTGAAGTGCTTTTGCCATCAGCGCTCCTAGAGCAAATGGATGAGGATAAAATCTGACTTCTCTTTAATAGGCTCCATTGCTGTTCACCATTTTCTGAGTTCTGGTTCTGCTCTGGCAGCAATATGAAGATAATTTGTGTGTTTCAGAAGGCAAACCATATGAGTAGTTGAGTAAGTAGGAGGCCATGTACAGTTGGAAGAAGGAGACAGTAAAGAAGCAGCATTTGTGCCGGCTGCGATCACCACTGACGCTACACTGCTGCTTTTTCTTGGCAGCGATATTATTCTGTTTTTTTAATATAAGCCATTTTATAAATTCTGAAAGGGAGCACATCTTATTCTTTGCCAATTCTGAACTCTGGCCAGGCTAGCTTAAGAAAATAAGATAGCAAACTGGGGTCTGCAGGCAAGACGAAGAAGGCTTAGGATTAAGGGCAGGAGCCAGGTCTAGGGGATACAGTGGGTCAGAACAAGATAGAGGTAGACCAAAGGAAGACACGTATGGAGTGTGAGATCAAGAATGACCAGAAAGCAGCTAGAGGAGCCTATAGAGGGGAATGAGACGGGGCGTTATATTAAAAGTCATGGCAGCAAACACCAGAACACATACTAGAAGCAAGTCAGTTGGTGAAAGGTTTATAATTTAGGAATTAGAACATCCATCTACATTGAAAAATAGGATTGTTGGGAGAATTGCCATGAAGTATCTACAACATGGGTACTGAGACAGCAGTCTTTTGCTAGCCAGGAAAGTTCTTACAAGTTCTCCCTAGGCAGTAGCTACTCCTAGCTGATAGCAGTCATGGAATGCAGCAATTCTGTTTACGTCTGGCAGCTCCTGACTCCTGAGCAGCTGGTCTAAATCACTGGAGTTTTATGGTAGGTTAGGTTCTGTTAAATTTTGGTCTCTCCCAAAGTAGACAGATTGCTAGATTGTGGTCCATAAAACCATAATCCGTTCATGTGCAGAAACTTGGAGTTAGATTGACTTTTGGAAGCAGATCAGTAGATACTGTGATAGGCCTACCATTGGCATTTCAAAGAAATGTATCTTGAAGCCTTCTGAAAGTCCCACTTTTGCAGATACCATTATGACATGTAATTTTCTTCCATAAGATAAAATTTTTGCTCTGGCTGGCCATTCACCAAAAATATTTGTGTGATGGGGTTTCTTTCTTTCTTTCTTACTAAAATCATATGGTCAACTGGTTCAATTCGTAAGTCTGAGTGATTCCTCAATGACTTCTCACCCTTGCCTTTTTCTGATGTAGTCTCACTCTGTTGCTCGGACACGATCTTAGCTCCCTACAGCCTCTGCCTCTCAGGTTTAAGCAGTTCTCCCTGCCTCAGCCTCCTGAGTTGCTGGGATTACAGGCACCCGCCACCATGCTTGGATAATTTTTGTATTTTTAGTAGAGACGGGGTTTCGACATATTGGCCAGGCTGATCTCGAACTCCTGACCTCAGGTTATCTGCCTGCCTCGGTCTCCCGAAGTGCTGGGATTATAGGCATGAGCCACCACATGCAGCCTCACCCTTGTCTTTTGGGGTAATGCTAGTCTTTCCTTAAATGTCTTTACTTTTTTATCACCAAACTGTAGCACTGGACTGGTTTTTTTATTTTTATGTTCATTTCAAATTAACATCTTTTAAAACAAAAGCTTCAGAAAAGTTACTGTGTTTCTAGCATCAAGTAGAGTTAATACCACCACAAAGTGATGATATTGCATGTACAGAATGTTACAAGTTTAAGGCCTATTTATTTTGTAAACATTTGCGAGCCTTTTATAAGGAAAACTTGTGAAACCAAATCTTACATGGAACCCTCATACAGAAAACTGTTAACATTCCTGCCTGAAGATGGTGGGCAGACATTTGTCTCGAGGTCTCTGAGGTACTTCCAAGAAACTTGAGAGTTCAGAGGAATATGGTTTGAAGACCGCAGATTTAATTTGGTCCCCCCATTTTTGCAGATGAGGAAACTCAGACTAAAAGGTCCTATGTTGGTTTCTATGGTAAGCAAGCATGATATAAATCTGAAAAGTTTTAGCA